CATTCAACTTACTCCAATCAACTGCTTTGAATGTGCCATCTGTTTCTTGCTATTTCAGGCTTAAAGAAGATAGGCGCTTTGTAAACTCTGGAGGGATTGCTGAATGTAGAAACACTGTTATGTGTTATTGTCATCCTCCTGTGGTTGGTTGGAGTTACAGGATAGGACTTAGCGCAGCACTATCAGCACGTGTATGTGCCCACTTCTGCCCTCCACATGGCAATAAGAAGGCATCAGCATCCTCTTCCCCAGGGAACGATAATCTATCTGGTTCTTCACCTGCCCAGGACTGTGTGAATTCAGTCTTGTGTTTCTTATACATTGATAAACCAACTCCCAGAAAGGACTCTCCTGTCCTTGTTGGAGTCCTTTCCACAGCTCTTAATAAAGGCACGATGAGCCAGCAGATTTTCCAGGACTTAGCACTGGCCAGCTTGATTGACAGTGATGACTGCCTAGGCGTGGACTCCCTGCTGGCTTTATTTGCAAGAACGTCTTTCCCTGGAGAGATAAGCACTATTTTAAGCCCAAAGCCCAGCAGAATAGCAGAAGCTGCCCAAAACCTTGTGTGGGTGACACAGCTGGAAAAACCTTGGACAAGATGTATCTGGGAATGAAGTCCCATCCACCACCCTATGTATGGATGGCTTGAGTCATTGCTTGTCTCAAATCCCCTTTTCTGCCTATGCTTATGCTGTACTAAGGGAGAAAAAACACACTGGCTCTGGTGGTACCCATACTTGGGTTTGAATTTGAGCTAACTCCCCAGCATCTTTGTGAATCCTTCTCTGTGCCTAAGTTTCATTGTCTATGAAATGAAGTTCATACACTTGCCTACTTATTGCACAGAGAATAAAATACAAGCTTCTTCAATGCCCTTCAAGACTTGTCACTTTGTACCTAAGACTCCTCTATTCCTTCTCATTAGTAGGAAGGTCACAGCAAATAACCTTCTTGGCAGTGACACATTTCAATGTCTTCAATCATTTGGATCTGACTGCCTGATTAACATCTGTGTCTTAGGAGAATAAGTACAATTGCAGCCATTTTACAGATGAGAAAACTGAGGTGCAGACAGCTTAACTAATTTACCCCAAATCACACAGCTGGAGGAGCTGGTATTTGGATACACGTTTCTGTGGCTTAATTGCTCGGGCTGTTCCCACCGGGCCCCATGACCTCCTTTGGAAGATCTTAAGAGGAGTTAGAATTTGAGAGAGGTGAGAAGAGAGAGCCTGAGCTTGCAGCAATGATGCCTGCAGGAGCTCAGAACATACTGCTGTGGCCTGGGACACACATGTGCGTGCACACACACACAGATGGGTTACATGTAGGGAGTCATCCAGCTTGCCAGTCATTATCGTTATCTATCCTCTGAGTTATGGGTAGGTCCATTTGATGTAAACAAGTTAGCTGGAGTCTGAGTGTACCTGTGACTCCTCCAGAGCAGCAGATAGTTGGCCATGACCCTGGGTGGGTGGAGAAAGGTGCTGCCTGACCACAGTTGAATCTCAGAGATACCCTCAGTTAGATTTTCAGAGGGTTGTAGCTTAGTTCTGGTTTGCAGCAGAGGAGAAGCTAAAAGTGCCTTTGCCCCTTCATTTACAGGATATTACATTGAGAGTTCTTGTGGGTCAGAGCAGTTCCAGACCTGCCAAGATGATTTTCAACAATTGCCAATGTCAGTATCTGGCATGCAGTAGACATACAATAAATGATATTTCATGATAATGAGGAAATGCTCTAGTCAATATAAACATATTCAGTGTCTAATCTTAGTCAAATGTGAACTGTTTAAATATTTATAAAATCTCAAATCGTCTTGACAAGGGCTTTATTGGAAATGTCTTAGGCATCTGATGAGGGCGGAAGCTGTCATTTATATTGGCCTGGATGACAGCTGATGAACTGGAGTTTCAACATGAATCTTGGTTGGTTTATTTCCTTTCAGGATGAAATTAACACATCTTTGATCTTCCCCAGTGGTCCTCAATCCTCATTGTTTTGGAGTTTTTATCAAAAGCAGCTTTCCTTTCACTTCTCTCTGGGCTTTCCCTCTTTGGTTCTGGTTCTCCAACCTTGATTTGGTGGTCATGGCTCATGCACATCAACATTCTCTCTGTTTTTGTGGCTTTATCAAGAGGCTCTTGCAACAAAGCCTCTAACCTTAGGGAGCCTTGGGAACACATGGCCTGAACTTCATCTGCTTAAGAGGGTAGGTGGTGCTTTGATCCGCATCTGAGAGACCCTCAAGGGTCTGAGTACATCAAAATGCAATTAGCTGGTGACTCACCCCTTTGGTTTTTCTTCCATTGGTCTTTCTCGAGTGGCTTGGATGGACCCCACAGGTCTCTCCCAGTCCTACATTCTAGGATCCCAAGGCAAGGGTCACCAATCCAAATTCTTTAGGGTTATTGAAGGTAACAAAAATGGCAGGGTATAGATGTGGAAATTGGGAGCCCGTGCTATGCCTAAAGGCATCACATGCACAAATTGAAACCAATAAACCAACCAGCTAGGCATGATGTAGCCATGTGAATCACAGGAAAGATCTGTCTTAGGGTCACCCAGTTTGTGACCGTTGTTCTAATGTTTCTCAATCCCTATATATTTCAATTTGGAAAGGCTATCTTAGCCCAGCTTTAACAATCCATGCTGCTTTTATAGCATCCTTGGCAAGAGATTGTTTTCCCTATTTGAATGTTTCAACAAGGGAAATCACCACAGTTCATCTGTACACGTTTAGAGAGCAGGGGCTATGGGATAGGAACACCAGGTCCCAAGGATCAGTGATAATGGAGGTTGACACAACCACAGCCCTATGAATCTCACAGTCTTATGGGGACAAGGTGGACTGGTGGCTCCACTGGCTCTATCCTTTAAGGATCCTCTTGACACAGACCCCAAAGCTCTACCCTTTGGCTTTGTCCATGGTCCTAGGGCTGTCCCCTGGAGTCCCATAGACTTAAGTCCTCATATCAAGACCACTCAGGCACTACAAGCAACTTTAAGTTCTCTCTTGGATAACTGCCCCTTGGATATTAGAGGGGGAATCAAATTGTTTGATATTTTCATTTTTTAATTCCCATAACTGCTCCATATTTGAGTCTTAATGACTTCAAGTCTTAAATGTATCTGGAATTCATCTCACTTCTTCATCTCCATAGTCAACATCCTAGGCCTCATTGCTGGGGTCCCAACTAGGCTATTTCAGGATCTCCTGTCTCATTTCTGTGGCTCTTCTATCTACTATCTTCTTCTTTTTTTTAATATTTATTTTATTTATTTGAAATACAGAGTTACAGAGTGAGGTAGAGAGAGAGAGAGAGAGAGAGGTCCTCCATCTGCTGGTCCACTCCCCAAATGACCACAAAGGCTGGAGCTAAGCTGATCCAAAGCCAGGACCCAGGAGCCCCTCCTGGGTCACAGGTGCAGGGGCCCAAGGACCTGGGCCATCCTCGACTGCCCTCCCAAGCCACAGCAGAGAGCCGGATAGGAAGTGGAGCAGCCAAGTCTCAAACTGGCACCCATATGGGATGCCGATGTTGCAGGCTGAGGCCTTAACCCACTGTGCCACAGCTCTGGCCCCAAATCTATCCACTATCTTCTATCCACTAGGTAGCATCAGCCAATCAATTAGGTTATGCTTAAAAATTCCAGAGGCTCCCATTTCACTTGAACATGTGCCCAAATTGGACCAGAGCTCACCAAGTCCAAGTGCTTCCTTTCACATCTCTTGCTATTCTATCTCCATCCATGGAATGGCTGAATAGTGTACCCTCAAAATCATGTCTAGCCTATACCTGACAATGGTGGCTTATTTGGAATAGGGTCTTGGAAGATATAATTAAATTAAAATGAAGCCATACTGCATTGTGTTGTGCCCTAAATCTAGCAATTTGTATCCTTATGAGGGATGGCCATGTGGAGATGAAGGCAGATATTAGAGTAATGTGGTCATAAGCCTGGTAATATGTGGGGTTACTGGGGGCTGGGATAGATAAGGCAGGATTCTTTCTCAGACCACCTTGATTCAGATTCCAGGTTGTGCTCATTGAGAGGTCCTTCAGGTATAATATAAGAAAAAAGGCTTAAGGAAAGGAGCATTTCTGAGCACTTGTTACATACTAGGCAATGTGCTCAGAAGTTACAGCTATAGACAGACGTATGTGAGTATGTTTACACATACATTTCTATACATGTATTTACTATAATTATGGTAAATGTTTATTACATACAGTTTGCCCTCTTAGCATTATATATATAACTCAGTGGCATTAAGCACATTCATGTTGTTTTTCAACCATCACTACTTTCCATCTCTAGAAGTCTTCTCATCTTGCAAAACTGGAATTTTGTACCCATCAAACAACAACTCCACACTTCCCCTCCCTTAACCCTTGGAAACCACCATTCTACTTTCTAGGTCTGTGAATTTGGCTACTTTAGTACTTCATATAAGTGGTATCAAACAGCATTTGTATTTTATGACTGGTTCAGTCCATCCAGCATAATGTCCTCAAGGTTCATCCATGGTGTGGCATGTGTCAGAATTCCCTTCCTTTCAAAGGAGTCATAGCATGCCATTTAATATACATACCATTTTGTTGATCCATTCATCCACTGGTGGATTCTTGGGTTGTTTCTACCTTTTGGCTATTGAGAATAATATTGGTAGGTATACAAACATCTCTTTGAGGTTTTTCTTTCAATTCTTTTGAGTATACCCCCCAGGAGTACAGTTTATATCTACACATATAAAACTTTAAAATTCCAGTGGACATGCTATTATTCATCTTAGAGATGAGGTACCTGAAGCTGGGAGAGGCCATATGTAAATTTCATGGGGCTAACCAGTTTAAGCTGCCTGGCACTATGGGGTAGGCATGGTCTCCATTCTCTTGACTGAGACTGTGGACTGCCTCCAGAACTTGAGATCAATGTGACCAACAGGACAGACCCATCAGCCCTTCTCGCTTTCCAGAGAATCCTGGGCTTACCTCATTGTCTCGGTCTTTCTCCAGGAAATGTCGGGCCACGTGGCTGGGTAAGATATTCCGGAGCATGTTCTCATTGTGTTCCCTCAGCTCCTTCATTTCATTGATCTCCTCCTTGGCCTGTACTCGCCAGAGGAAGTCCAGGCGGGCTGTGTACTCCAGCTGCAGTTCAGAAGAGAGGAAGAGAAGACATGGTGAATTCTTGGAGTATAGTCTTTAGGCATCAATGCCCCAGAGGAGAAAAGGGTTCTCTGGAACTCTTCACACATGAAATAGAGTGCAATAGGAGCATTGTGAGAAGCATTGGCCCGCAGCCAAGCAACCTGAGTATGATCCAATTTCAAAGGGACCTTTGGGAAGTCATCAGGGTTAGATGAGGACATGCACATGTGGTCCATGAGATTATTGTAGTTATAAGAGGAGACAGGAGAGATCTTGCTTGTCGCCTCTCAATGTGTGCACACCAAGAAAAGACCTGGGGAGGGCACAGCAAGGAGGTGGTCATCCACCAATCAGAAATAGTCCTTATCAGAAACCAAGCCCTGTTGGACTTTGACCTTGTACACTAGGTCTCCAAAGCTCTAAGAGAAAAAAATTCTGTTGTTTAAGCCACCTGATCCATGGCGGCTCATTACAGTATTCTGAGAAGACTAACACACTATCTGTGAAGTAAAACATTTGTCACAGGGCAGGTACTTAACCAGTATTTGTTTGTTCAAGAGATAAATTACTATAATAAATATAGCTAACATTCAGTAGTGCTTCTCATGTGCCAGACACTATTCTAAGCAATATACTTCAATATATTGAACCCTTTAATCTACAACAACCCTCAGAGAAAGATATTATCAATCCTGTTTTACAGAAGAGAAAATCAAAACAAACATCAGGAAGTAAGTTGGCCAAAAATTACTCACAAGTTAGTATCAGAGATACAATTTGTACTTCCAAAATACAGCTCTGGAGTTTGAACTCTTGAGCAACAGACAATAAGGAAATAATGTATGAACTCATATTGGGAGGAACACGGATTTAGTTGTTAGAAAGATCTGACTTGGAGTTCTAGTTCTACATTCATACATTGTAACTGCACTAGTGACTCATCTCCTTGTTCTCAGCTACAAAATTGAAATGAACACCAATGACTTTCCAAGGTTGCAATAGGGATCATTTAGGAAGTTCCTGATAAAGCGTGTGGCTCGCAGTAGGGACCTGACACACATCAGTTCCCTCTTGGCCTAGCTTCCCTTTGCAGTGGAATGTAGGGCACCTCCTGTCCAGTGAAGCTCAAAAGCCATTCTCATCACAGCTTTGGGGATGTCATTACTTCTGTCTAACTGTTGAGATAAACAGTATGCTTCACTGGTAAACACATGATTAGATGCTCCAAATCAAAGGGCTGAAAGCATTCAGTGAATATTTTATCCTTTGCCTTGTTTTAAAGTCTCAATGGATGGCAAAAATATGAAAAGATAGAGATGCAAGTTGTTCATTCATTAGAATTGATAATAGCAAAAAAAAAATACACCATATTGGCTAGATAAACTACAGTACACCCATGCTATAGATTGTGATACATCTATAAAAAGAAAGGGGTGTCTCTCTGCAATTTTAAGGGCTTGTATGCCTTGAGTAGAAGGATGTGTATAGTAAGAAAGGGGGTGATATCTATCTTTCCCCCCGATCACTCCTGGTGCACCCATGCATGCATGCACCCGCACACACACACACACACACACTGGCACAGAGACACACATTTCTTAATTTATTCACTAAATTCGAAGTATAAACTGCAAAAATAGATTATCTATGAGATGAGATAAAGAATGAAAAGTTTTGGAATATGATAGAAAAAAGAATTTACTTGTCTTTACACCATATTTTAAGTAAAAACCATTAGAATTATGGTGACATTTTACTTAATTATAGAACTAAATAGGTTTCCAAGAAACCTCTGCAAAAATATATAAACAAATAAATGAACATACATATATTAGCCACATAGAGGAATTCCATATGCCAAATGTCTTTTTACCTAATAATTTACAAATATTTTTAAAAATGTACTTATTTTTCATTTTATATGAAAGACAGTGAGACAAGAGATACAGAGACAGAGACATCTGCTCATTTACTCCCTAAATGTCCACAATAACCAGAGGTGGGCAGGCAGAAGCCAAGGAGCTTGGAACTCCATCCAGGTCTCCCATGTGGATGGTAGGGACCCAAGAACTGGAGCCATCACCTTCTGCCTCTCAAGGTGCACAACAGCAGGAAGTTTGATTGGAAGTGGAGGAGCCAGGACTTGTACCAGGACTCCAATATGGGATACAGGTGGTATCTTAGCTGCTGCACCAAATGCCTACTCTTACATAGTTCTTTGTTGGCACATTCCTGGAGAGAAATACCCTAACGATAAAAAATTATTTTAAAACTGTTTAAAATAATCATGTTGTAGGTGGTAATAGTTGTATATTACTCTTAGACTATTTGAAGTATATGTTAAGGTGAATGAGTCATGGTGTTGGGTGTCATCAAAAGCCAGAGAAAAAGGATATATAGGTATATAATCCTATGTGCAGATATTAATGTGATTAAATCAAAGTCTTTGGTCCCAAATCTTAAATGGAAGTATCACTTTGAACTCACAATATAGGCATTTCCTAGCTCTGCTCACTGAAATCAAGGTCAACTGACAGAATGGGAAAAAATATTTGCAAACTATGCAACAGATAAAGGGTTAATAACCAGAATCTACAAAGAGATCAAGAAACTCCACAAAAACAAAACCAACAACCCACTTAAGAGATGGGCCAAGGACCTCAATAGACATTTTTCAAAAGAGGAAATCCAAATGGCCAACAGGCACATGAAAAAATGTTCAAGGTCATTAGCAATCAGGGAAATGCAAATCAAAACCACAATGAGGTTTCACCTCACCCCGGTTAGAATGGCTCACATGCAGAAATCTACCAACAACAGATGCTGGCGAGGATGTGGGGAAAAAGGGACACTAACCCACTGTTGGTGGGAATGCAAACTGGTCAAGCCACTATGGAAGTCAGTCTGGAGATTCCTCAGAAACCTGAAGATAACCCTACCGTTCGACCCAGCCATCCCACTCCTTGGAATTTACCCAAAGGAATTTAAATTGGCAAACAAAAAAGAGGTCTGCACCCTAATGTTTATTGCAGCTCAATTCACAATAGCTAAGACCTGGAACCAACCTAAATGCCCATCAACGATAGACTGGATAAAGAAATTATGGGATATGTACTCTTTAGAATACTATACCGCAGTAAGAAACAACGAAATCCAGTCATTTGCAACAAAATGGAGGAATCTGGAACACATCATGCTGAGTGAAATAAGCCAGTCCCAAAGGGACAAATACCATATGTTCTCCCTGATCGGTGACGACTGACTGAACACCAAGAGGGAAACCTGTTGGAGTGAGGTGGACACTATGGGAAATGGTGGCTTGATCAGCATAGCCCTGACTGTTAATGAACAACTTAATACATTATCCCTCTTAGTAGTTTTTTTATCTGTTCTACTTAATATGACTGGTTTAGATCTGTAATTGATGCACAGTTATTCTTAAGTGTTGAAAATTAACTGAAATGTGATCCCTGTTGAACATGGTGGTGGGAATGGGAGAGGGAAGAGATGTATAATTTAGGACATGCTCAGGCTGACTTGCCCCAAGTGGTGGAGTTGGAAGCATACCAGGGGATTCCAATTCAATCCCATCGAGGTGGCATGTACCAATGCCATCTCACTGTTCCAGGTGATCAATTTCAGTTCACAGTTGGTCATGGTGAAGGGACTGGGAGTCAAAGGGAGCACTTAGACAAGTCTAGTACCTGCTAACGCTAACTGATGGAGTAAATAAAGGGGAGAGTGATCCAACATGGGAAGGGAGATACTCAGCAGACTCATAGAATGGCAGATGTCCTAAATAGCACTCTGGCCTCAGAATCAGCCCTAAAGGCATTCGGAGCTGGCTGAAAAGCCCATGAGAGTATTTCAGGCATGGAAAGCCAAGACACTCTGGCAAAAGATCTCTGCGAGTGAGATCCCAGTGGAAAGAACAGGTCATCAAAGAAGGAGGTACCTTTCTCTGAAGGGAGGAGAGAACCTCCACTTTGACTATGACCTTGTCTAAACAAGATAAGAGTCGGAGAACTCAGAGGGCTTCCATAGCCTTGGAAACTCATGACTGGAGCATAGGGGAGATTACTGATGCCATACAACAGGAGTCACTGCGCACTTACTCCTCATGTAGGATCTCTGTCCTTAATGTGCTGTACATCGAGATTTAATGCTATAACGAGTACTCAAACAATATATTTCACTTTGTGTTTCTATGGGGGTGCAAACTGTTGAAATCCTTACTTAATGCATACTAAACTGATCCTCTGTAAAAAAAAAAAAAATTATCAATTCCCAACTTGACTCTCACTGGGATTAAACATGACAATAGGTCTGCTCTGATTTCATCATCATTTTAAAAAATCATCTATTATTTTTCACTTTATGTTTCTGTGTGGGAGCAAACTGTTGAAATCCATACTTAATGTATACTAAGCTGATCTTCTGTATATTAAGATAATCGAAAATGAATCTTGATGTGAATGGAAGGGGAGAGGGAGTGGGAAAGGGGAGGGTTGTGGGTGGGAGGGACGGTATGGGGGGGAAGCCATTGTAATCCATAAGTCGTACTTTGGAAAATTATATGCATTAAATAAAAGTTTAAAAAAAAAAAGGTCTAAAAACAGTTAAAACCTAATAGCAACGAGTGCTCCTTGTGTCCACACAGTGGTTTCTAAATACTAATCCCTTTAAAAATAACCTCCACTCTTTCCATAAATGGCTAAAGTTTAGTTGCAAAATGTACAACCATAAAACATTTTGCTGTATTTGAGAGGCAGACAGAGACATACATGCAGAGCTCTCATCCAATGGCTCAATCCCCAAATGCCTGTAATGGCTAAGATTGGGTTAAACTGATGCCAGGAGTTGGGAACCCGATCAGGTTTCTCATGTGAGTAGAAGGATGCCAACCATTTGAGCTGTAGCTGCTGCCTCCAATGGTCTACATTAGCAAGAAGTTGCAGTCAGAGGCCACAGCCTCAAGCGCAACCCAGGTGCTTTAATGTGGGATGTGTGTATCTTAACTTGTGGCTTACCTGCCAGGCCAGATACCCAACCTGACACCGAAATTTTTAAAATAAAAATTCTTCAGCATTTTTCTCAAAAACCATCAACTGAATGGAGTATACTCCATTTCTTGATTTTACCAGACCACTGAGAAACTGGCTATTTAAAAAAATTACAAAGAAAATGAATACATATGAAAGTACTTAAAAAAGTTCACAGAAAAATGGAAATAAAAAAAGTTTATTCTGGTACAAAATCCATGCATAGCTTTTTAAAAAAATATTTTCAAAAATTTCCAGAAATTTTTTGAAGACCCTCATATGCGTAGATTTCAAAAACTTTTTACAAAAATGAATCTATTTTCATATTTCATTTCCTCACAAACTTTTGAGATGTCTTGCTTCTATATATTGTGCAAAGCTTTCACATAATGCTAGCCAATACTGAGTGAACTTTTGCCTCAACTGAATAAGGTGGGCATTCTAATATCTACATTTCACAGGAGGGAAAATGAAGAAACACAAAGTGAAATCCATCTCCTAGAGTCTCTCAAATTAAGGCTGGTTTGAACCAACAGCATTTTGACTCCAAGCTGCAACTCTTACCCCTTCTATAGGTCAAAGATCTCATTCATATATTCTCCAATCCTCAAAAGATCATCATTTTCATTTTAGATAAGGAAATGACAGCTCAGAGAGGTTATCTCAAAGTCATCTATCCAATATGTGGCACTGTTGGGACTCAAGCAAGACTATTTGCTTAGTAGGCTCAGGTCTTCCCTTCTGAGACAGTAGATCCCAGCACGTCTTTAGCAGACCCAGAAGCAGGTAACTGGAGACACAGCCTCATTGATTTCTGTCCCCACATGCTGGCGTGGCTTCCTCTGCTATAAATGAAGATGGCAAGGCACAGTCCCAAACTCCAGAGCTGTGAGTGAATCAGGCACGAGGTGGGAGGCTCTCCCTGCCCAACATCCAGAACGTTCACCTGCCTCAGTGTAGGAGGCAATGTTTGGCATATCATTTCCACATATGGGCAAAATGAAATCTCCCAATTATTCTGTTACATAACCGCCTCCGTCACTCTGGAGATGTATAATTACACATGCTCCCACCGGACTCTTTAGCAGCCATCAGTGGGCATTATTCAGCTTTTATTAAAAATAGAGGGCCTCTGAGTCACAAGGAGAAGCTGGTGAAGCAGGTAGCAAGCCCAGGAGTGGGCAGGTTTGATCCGGGATGAATAGGGCCCTGGAGGATGCTATAGATAGAAGACACCTGAAGTGACGCAGCCCTGCTAAAGGCCGCCTCTCACACAAGGAGGTAGCGGCATGCAGCAGAAACAGGGCGGAATGAGGAGCTGCAGCATTTGGATTCCTGCTGCAGTCTGGCTTCCCCTGCTCATTTTGTGACCTCAGGGGACTTGAGTCTCTGCTCTTGTCTTGGGACCAGATGGATAATACTTATTTTCCTATTGGTGTCATGGGCTTATTTTCAAAGTAAAATTTTAACAGCTAAAGATTTCTAAGTACTTGCTATATGTGCAAGCCACTGAGATACATAAAATCATATTTCATATGAGGCTTTAACAAGCCTGTGAAGAAGAATCTGTTCTCCATGTACTCAGAGGAAACTAAGACACAGAATATTGAAGAAATAGAAGGAGGTCATATTATCTATTAAGTGGCAGAGTTTGGGTTTGAATTTTATCTGCCCAATCCTAATGCCTGTACCTATAACTGCTACTGTTATGTGATTTGATTATGAATTTTAAAACCCTTTGAAAGTTAGAGATGAAAGGGAAAAAATTCAGATGTCACTTAAACCCTCAGACCCTCAGTAAGCACATACATTCTTCCACTTTATACATAATCTTAACATAACCGAGTTACCCAGGACAAATGAAGAATCAGAGGGCTAGAAAGGTACCATTTTAGAAAGGGGGCACTGATGGCACAAACAAAAACATCCTTCTTATTATAAAAGGAAGACTTTCATTCTGAATTTGTCCTCTCAGCTATTTCTGGACATCTCTCACTTGTCAGTCTTAAAACTGTGATGCAGTGAGTATATGCTTTTCTGCAGAACTGTCTGATCTGCTTCTGTCATGATAGCCCCTCATTGATTGCCATCTGTGTGTTCAGGTAAGGAGTTCTCCCTTATCGATGGAAGCCATCAAGACATGGGAGAGTGGATTCCATCCTCGCAGATAGCTGGAAAGAGCAAACTACAGGAATTTTGGGAAAGGCTAGACTCTGGCATTTGGCTTGTTCTTGCATTATAAATTCAGCTAAATGTGAAAGCAAGTCAAAGTCATATTGCAGGGTTTGTTACTTCCTTGTTTCCATGGTAATTTCCCAGTGATAAGTTCATATTTCTGCTATGGATGACAGTCTTCTTGTTTTGTTTTCACCCTTTTTGAAATGCACACAGACAGGAGAAAGATGGACTTGGTTCCAGAGCAGAGCATGGAGGCTGGCAGGGCCTGGTTTCTATTGAGAAGTGAAAGTCTTCCCAGGGGATGAATGTTCATGGATTGGGGTCCACCTGGAGAAGTCCTCCTGGTCCCTGAGAGCATGTGACATCCCTTGGATGAAGCCTTCCATGATGTCTGCATGCAGAATTGCTTCCTTTTATGAAGTCTTAGGGAAAGTGTGTTTTATTTTGCATTATTAGGATACAGTCTCCTTCAGGCACTTTATCTAATTAGGACAAATCAGCCATGAAGCTCATCCTAGCAAAACGCAAGGCAGTGCACAAACTGCTGTGCATGATAATCTCAGATGAACCCTTAAAATAGCCCTACTTGGATAATCCTATTTTACTCAGAGTTGAGTAAAGTAAGGCGCAGGGAGATAAGTAACTTTCCCACGTCCGCACACTGTGAGGTGAAGACCTGGGATTACAGCCCCTCAGCGGATCCTCTGAATGTTTGCCTCAGTTTGACTCAGACAGAAATCAAGAGCTCTTTTGTTAGCATGATGGTCTTTTGGGAAGAGATGTGCCTAAAGAGAATTTGGACCACGTTGTTTACCAAGTCATCTTCTTCAGCCTCCTTTTTCATTAGGTGGTCTTTGTTATAAATTGATCCATTAATAATCACACTTGTTGCAAGCAGGTAACCGTCATTTGAGGAGAAGAACAGTGGAGATTTTGCAGGGCATATTCATGGCAGCGGCTAACCAAGGGTAGATAGAGCAAAATGTCAGATTACCTGCTGTCCGTGGTAGAATACAGCAAGGAGGAACATGGCCATTAGCAACAGTGATGCTTCTTTGGTCCCCAGGAAATCTCTGCAGGAAAAACAAGTGCAAGATGGTGCATGGTTACTAATAACCAGAGGAGCACTTCAAGGAAACTCTTTAGAGAGCAAAGGTTTAGAAACAAACGGAAAGAAATGTTTTTTTGAGCATATACTGTGTGATAAGAGCTGCTTGAGGGCTTGCACCTTAGCTGATTCAGAAGTCAGCTGATCTCCAAGTGTATGTCACCAAGACATACCAGGTGAAAAGGATTCTACAGTCTAACATCTACAGTCTAAATCTGCCTCCTTAAAAATGATGTCTTCTATTTGCAAAGCACTTTTTCTAAGCTTCAAAGCTTTATATGTTCTCATTACAAAAATCCATGTGAAGAAAATTATCCCTCTCTTTCTGTTTCTTTTTAGAAAACTTTATTTGTTTATGGAAGGGGAAATGTATAAGTGTGTGTGTGTGTGTGTGTGTGTACATGTGTGTGTGTGTGAGAGACAGACAGGGAGAGAGAAACATGAATGCTCTCATTTGCTGGTTCACTCTCCAATGCCTGCAACAGCTCTAACTGGGCCAGGCCAAGGGCAGAAGCCAGAATTCAATTCAGATCTTGTTTATGAGGGGCAGGGATTTGATTATTTGGGCCACTACCTGCTACTTCCTAGGGTCTGCATTGGCAGGAAGCTGGAATCAGGAGCTAGAGCTTGGAATTGAACCCAGCCAGTCTACGTGAGACTAAGGATATTAACCAGCATCTTAACTATTAAACACTTGATCTCTTTATCTTGTTAAATATATTACTCTATTTAAGAGACCATTAAGCAATGTCTTCTGCGTGGCAGCGTGTATTCTAAGTGCCTTCATGTTAAGGTTATTATATTCATTCTGTGAGTTAGACCTTGTTTTATTTATCAATTCCTTTAATCTTTATTTCAGTTCTGTGATTTGGGGGACTCATCCCCATTTTAATTCCTCAGCATTTTAATAAATATTTTGCTTCCTTTGTCCTCTTCTCCAACCCTCAATTCCCAACAATAGTGGAGACACACATTGAGGTACTGCTGAGCTGGGATTTCCCAGGTGAGATTCAGCAGCAAGAGTAAATATAAACGCCGATAGGACTTCCAGTTGCCAGAGCAATTCAGACGACCATGGCAGCCATTGTTGGATTCTGAGTGCTTTCTCTCTTTCATTTTGGCTCAGAATGAAGTCTTTCTTAGAACAAATTAGGAGGCAAAAAGTTTGGAGGAGGAAATCTTGGACTTTGAATGTGGACATGGTTGATTTGTGTAAATACACAGTCTTTTGACAGGCTTTCATTGGCTAAAGAAAAAAACACAACATAAAACTTTCAAGTACATGGAAGACAATTTGGAGATTCCTAAGAAATCTCAAAATAGCTCTCTCTTATGACCCAGCCATTCCAGTCCTGGGAATTTACCCCAAAAAAATATAATCTGCACTTGAAAGAGTTATCTGTACCCCTATACAACTCAACTCACAATAGGTATGAAATGGAATCAACCTAGATGTCCATCAACTGATGACTGGATAAAGAAATTATGTTATATATACATGATGGAATACCACTCAGCCATTAAAAAAAGAATGAAATCCTGTCTTTTACAACAAAATGGATGCAACTGGAGACCACCATGCTTAGTGAAATAAGCCAGTCCTCCAAAAATAAATGTTTTCCCTGATTTGTGGTAACCAATATACAGCATACAAGAAAAGTAATGTATATGAGTGAAATTTACATTTTGAGATCTGATTATTGTTTATAGCCCTTGTTTATACTTTTGAGGAACAATGGATTTTATACTTCCTGCTTGTTAAATTATTTATTTAATCGCAGCTTATGAATGTGAGTATGAAGTAAACTGAAAGCATGTCATTGAAAAAATTATAATAAAAATAAGAAAATAAGGAGGGAGGGTGGGAGTGAGTGAGGATAGTGTGAGACATGTCATTATGTTCTTACAACTGTATATATGAAATACATGAAATTTGTTTTTTTTAAATAATAATATTAAAAGAATTCACAATTAAAGATAATCTATCTCTGTGGATGTCATGTCTTGCCTGATCTCAACTAGCGTTCTATCTTCCCAAGATTACTCCATCTTAGGCAATGGTCCCCAAGCATTCATCCAGTTGCTTGAGTCAAAAGCAAAACCAAAACTCAGACAGCCCCCACCATTGCCCCCACCCAACCCTTAACCAAATCCTGTTCCCTCTACCACCAAAATATATCTCCAGTAGATTTACTTCTCTCCATATCCACTTCTGCCAACTCTCCATATCCAACTTCAGCCACTATGATATCCAATAGACTCATAATATTCCCCTCTATAATATATTTCAGAAAATTTTCACCATTAAAACCAGATGATGCTACACTCTTATTTAATTCCCTCCCAAATGCGAGCACATGTATCCTCAAAACTCACTCAGAGGTAACTTTGATGTGGCCATCAAGGATGAGATGCAGTATCCAGAGGGAATGGTAGACTCAGCATCAATATGGTGGCCCTAAAACAACCTCAAGCTTTCCATCTTCTTTTTTTAACTTTTATTTAATAAATATAAATTTCCAAAGTACAACTTTTGAATTATAGAGGCTTTTCATCCCCATAACCTCCATCTCATCTCCCACCATCTCATCTCCCACTCCCTCTCCCATCCCATTCTTCATCAAGATTCATTTTCAATTATCTTTATTTTTTAACAGTATAGATATTAATTTTTTTAAGATTTACTTATTTATTCACTTGAAAGTCAGAGTTACACACAGAGAGAGGAGAGGCAAGAAAGAAAGAAAGAGAGAGAGAGGTTTTCCATCTGCTGGTTCACTCCCCAATTGGCTGCAACGGCCGCAGCTGTGCTGAGCCAAAGCCAGGAGCCAGGAGCTTCTTTCCTGCATAGGTGCAGGGGCCCAAGCACTTGGGCCATCTTGTACTGCTTTCCCAGACCATAGTAGAGAGCTGGATCAGAAGAGGAGCAGCCGGGTCTCAAACTGGCACCCATATGGGATGCTGGCGCTTCAGGCCAGGGCGTTAACCTGCTGCACCACAGCACTGGCCCCAATTATCTTTATATACAGAAGATCAACTTAGCATATACCAAGTAAAGATTCCAACAGACTGCACTCACAAAGACACACTAAGTATAGAGTACTGTTTGGGTAGTAGTTTTACCGTTAATTCACATAGTACAACACATTAAGGACAGAGGTCTCACATGAGGAGCAGGTGCACAGTGACTCCCGTTGTTGATTTAACAATTAACACTCTTATTTATGACATCAGTAATCATCCGAGGCTCTTGTCATGAGTTGCCAAGGCTAGTGAAGCTTCTGGAGTTCACCAACTCCTATCTTGCTTAGACAAGGCCATAGTCAAAGTGGAAGGTCTCTCCTCCCTTCAGAGAAAGGTACTTCCTTCTTTGATGGCCCATTCTTTCTACTGGGATCTCACTCACAGAGATCTTTCATTTGGGTCATTTTTTTTGCCACAGTGTCTTGGCTTTCCATGCCTGTGAAACTCTTGTGGGCTTTTTAGCCAGATCTGAATGCCTTAAGGGCTGATTCTGTGGTCCCTCTTCTGTTTTGTTGTAGACTAGCAGCTCCAGTGAAGGGATCAGAGAAACTGGGTATGAAGTCAGCTGCTAAAACCAGATTTTCATTTGGCTTTATGCTAAAAGATCCTTCCAGCTTGTACTGGGTAAGCCTTAGTCCAGTTCACCAAGATTGAGCAAGGACTTCAGGAATGGAAATATGAATTTCCAGCATATACAGAGGGCCCAAGAGATACTGTGTATAGGGGTCCCAAGAGGATCAAAGAACTCTAGGCTGGAACAAGGTTCAGATCTGCAAATTTTTAGATTTATGTACTTTTTCTTGGAGATAAGATGCTGATAATATATGATACTCATTATTCTACTCCTCTATAGTGTCAGTAGGAAAGAGCGCTTGGCTCTCCTGGAGCTGTCCACCATAAGTGCTGAAGTGAAGAGGGTTGGACTGTGAGCCACGTATTGTCATAAGTGCTGTGTGTGTGTGTGTGTGTGTGTGTATGTGTGTATGTATATTTACGAGGTCCCATACATTCATTTACTCATTCACAGTCACCATTGCACTTGTTTTGGAGGGAATTGACATGACTTAATATTCTAGCTCCTGAAGTCTGTGGACCCCTGAGAAAATGATTAAAGACATGAGCTTTGGATTCATGTAGACCCAAGCCCCAATCTCAGCTTTGTTACTGATGAGTTATTTGATCACAATGCATTTAACATCTCTGAGCCTCAGTTTATTTATCTGTGAATGACTAATAGCATTTGTCTCCATAATTGCGAGGATTAAAGCGTGAATCACGGTAATGTACCTGACCCTGTGAAGCACCCGGTACATAATCTTGCTGCTGATGGAGGTGTTTTCAAAGGACCACTCATTCACAATGTATAGCTTGAATGAGAGAAGTCCTATGTTTAGCTCCTTCTGAATCTGTCCAAACTCCTGCTCTTCTTGGCACTTACGATTTCCTTTTCTTTGTGCTGCAGAAGACTTTCTTAAGGCTCACAATTTATCACTTGAAACACATTTTCCAGAGGAAACATAAATACCTCTTGAATCACTTTGAAAGCAGTGATTGACCAAAAATAGAGAGATGACTAGACCAAACTCAGAAGAAAAAGTAAAGGAAAATTGTGAACGATCTTTGAGTCTTTAGCTGTATTTTGGATGGAAAAAAATAGCTTGAGTAGAGATTGCGGAATCAACACAGTAAGTCAGCCAGGCTGAAAAGCATCCAAAAGGAATTGTGATTTGAATTTAGAAGAATCTTTTCCTTATTTTGTAACTTCTATAATTGTTTCAAATAATTTATGAAAAAAGCTAAATGAATGTATCATATTATAATGTATCTCTTGATTTTTGGTGTCAGGTACTTAAAAACAGGGCATTTTGAACTGATCCATTTGGATTAATAAAGTCATTAAATTAACCCTGTCATTTTCCTATGCTAATAGAAAAGAGCATC